GGGGGGGGGGGTCAGGTGATGTGCAACTTGCATCACCAGTTCTGTAACATCCTGCGTGTTTCAGATGAGGGAGGATGATAGAGTTGCAATCCATGAAGCCATGGAGCAACAGACCATCTCCATTGCCAAGGTAACAGCATCTTTACCGTATTGATTGGAATATCTGCACATGTGTTTTGTTTGAAGTGGTTGATGCTGAAATGGCCCCTAACCACCACAGGCTGGCATCACCACCACTCTGAACTCGCGCTGCTCAGTCCTAGCGGCTGCCAACTCGGTCTTCGGCCGCTGGGACGACACCAAGGGGGAGGACAACATCGACTTCATGCCCACCATCCTGTCCCGTTTCGACATGATCTTCATCGTCAAGGACCAGCATGACCAGCAGAGGGACATGGTCAGTGGCTGTTGGCAGAGGTTCACCTGCTCCCTCTGGTGGCCAGTTGTGTTATAACACCCCCCCCTCTTCTCATCAGAACCTGGCCCGTCACGTGATGAATGTTCACTTGAGCGCTCAGACCCAGACGGAGGGCATGGAGGGGGAGATCTCACTGGCCACGCTGAAGAAGTACATCGCGTATGCCAGAGTGTAAGTCCTGTTCTGAACAAGTAACAGTGTTCAGTGAGGGGCAGCCATTTTGTTCTTAAAGGGACAGTTACAGTTTTTAAGAGCGCTAAGGACTGGCCGTTTACTGCCATTCTGTGTGACTCCTGGCGTTGCAGGAAATGCGGCCCCCGCCTGTCTGTGGCGGCCGCTGAGAAGCTGAAGAACAGGTACGTGGTGATGAGGAGCGGCGCGAGGGAGCACGAGCGAGAGAGCGACAGACGGGCATCCATTCCCATCACCGTCAGGTGGGTAGCGCTCGCTGCCCGTGGGTACTGGTTATATTCGGGCACCATGGCATGTGCTCTGGGACTGGGTGATGTTGCTATATACGGTCAATATTCACAACCTGAGGGCTGTATCACAAAACAGTATTTCCGGCTGAGCCAGATAACTTGTCGGATTTAAGGTAGTCTAGGTTAAATGTCAGTGAACGAAGATAGTCCATTTAAACTGGGGTACCTTAAGTGTTAACTGGTTGTAAACAACCTACAATTTCTACGAGTGATTGATATTTACTTGTATTAGACTAGAAGTTATATATTATTTTAATAATTATCACTAAAGCAGGCCTGCCGTTCATGGCAAAATGTGAATTACACAGTACTAATTTGATGGAAGATTGTAATGCAGGCTTGTGAGCTTCTTGGTTTGTTACTCTGGTTGTGTTACTCTGGTTGCGTTACCTGGGACAGCTACATGTTTGCTCCCCCTGTCTCCCACGCAGGCAGCTGGAGGCCGTCGTAAGGATCGCAGAGTCGCTGGCGAAGATGAAGCTGCAGGCTGTAGCTGGGGAAGAAGAGGTAGACGAGGCCCTGCGTCTGTTCCAGGTGTCAACACTGGATGCTGCTCTGTCAGGCAGCCTCTCAGGTGTGTGAGAGTCCGTGTGTCTGTGTGTGTGTGTGTGTGTGTGTGTGTGTGTGTGTGTTACTGGCCCTCAGACTAATAGTTCTCAACTGCGTTGTAGGTGTTGAGGGCTTCACGACACAGGAGGACCAGGAGATGATCTCGCGCATCGAGAAGCAGCTGAAGCGCCGCTTCGCCATCGGCTCGCAGGTGTCCGAGCACAGTATCATCCAGGATTTCACCAAGCAGGTGCGTCCCTAGTACCACGGTGTGTCCTGATGGCTCAGTGTTGGGGATTAGCCTCACGCCGAGCCGCCTCTGTAGGACATGGATTCTTTTGACGTCTTACTGGTTACTTAATCTTTTGACTGTAAAGTTGCCCCCCCCCACCACCACCACCACCACCACAAAAAGGCAATAACTGCCTACGGATGCTCCTTGGGTGCGTCTTGACGGATCGCTGTCTTCTCGCTCTGCAGAAGTACCCGGAGCAGGCTATCTACAAGGTCCTGCAGCTGATGATGAGGAGAGGCGAGCTTCAGCATCGCCTCCAGAGGAAGGTGCTCTACAGAGTCAAGTAGAGGAAGAGTCTCGCTGTCGCTGGAGGCTGCAAGGCGAGAGGGCGGGCCATGAAACCCATTATTATGGCTCCTCTTTAGTGACAGTCTGGTGTCTTTCAAAATGCCTGAACAATATGCAGGAAAATGTCATTTTGTTGTCACCACAGAGGAGCTGGTGGTCATTGCCAGTTCATACCCTAAAGCTGCTGTATAGTCTTCCCCCCTTTGTTCTCTTTAACTGCACCCCCACCCTTTGTTGTACTGGAAAAAAAGAATGAGTCTCTTTATGAAGTTGCTGTGCTGTTTGTGGTATTAAAATGTATAAATAAAAATATGGTAATGCAAACAATGCTTTGGGTTTTTTCCCTGTTCATTCTGGTGTTTGAATTTAGCCCCCCCCACCAGTCCTCACGGAGGTGAGAAACACCTGCCCTAATCGTTTGTATATTCACGCATCATTTAAATTTTGCCGAAAAGCAGTGATTATAGGTGCATTTGGAAATTACAATACAGGATAGCTACAACACATCGATAGAGAGCTGGTAAGTGGTAAAACTCGAATTTTATTCTACAGCTATGTACCATGAATAACGATGAGTTCAAGGAAGTCTCGCACTATTCATTCATTCGTTGACAGTTGGCTGACTGAAATCCACGTAAAGTTGTTAATTTTCAATAGTTTCGTTTAGAATGTTTCGATAAAATCAGTTTCTTAATGGCGTTTAAAACGCAGTGGAAGTTAGAGTTGTGACGTTCGCGAACGAACCGATTCTTTTGAACGGCTCATAAACATGAACGATGGGAGTCGAGTCGCG